AGGCAGAGCTAATTCGTGCGCTACAGGTTCGCTTTTGTGCTGGGGCTTAGCGGGCTGGCCATGGCTGTTTGCAAGTGTCCATGTTTGTGTGCGTCTGCCGTAGGATCCTACGCTTCTTTGTAGGAGTAGGGGAAGGGGGCCATGAACTCATCGTCTTTGTCCGAATCATAGCTTCCACGCTCGTCTTTGGATTGCGCAACCGTATTCTTCGTCCTGACTCGTATCTGTGTCACAGGGAGACTAATGAGCTGCATCCATATATGTGTGATCTAATGCGCACAAGCGTATTAGCGGTGATATATTGAGATGTATGTTGTTAAGGCTGGGTAACCCCGGCTCCGTTGACCCATCTCTCGACTACGAGGAGTCATTCGGCTTCTTGATGGTCGGCTGGCGCTTCAGTCCTGACATCTTTTAACTCCATGGCAACGGAGAGATGAGCGGCTGCAGGAGGGCCTACAGGGAGCGAGCCATGAACAGGCGACCAGCGAGGGAAACCAATGGAAGCTGGAAAGGCTGAGCTTCAGGACTGCTGTGTGGATATCTTGTAGAGAATCTGACTGAATTACCTCCTTGAAGAAGTTGTCTCTTGGCCCGTATGTGATGACAAAGGTCAGCGATGCCACGTATGGAAGCTCAGTCTGCTGATATCTCCGAGGGTCCTTTGAGTAGATGGACAGACTGTTGAGAAGGCGGAGACGGCCTGCGAATGTGTCGTTATCGTTACCCTCGATGATGCAGTTGTCAGTCCAGTGCAGAGGAGTGGGAGCCGCGGGGTTCAACTTCTTGCGGAACATGTTCCTGGAGCCGCGAGGCGCGACAAACGGCAGCTGGAGAAGGCTTGGTGGTTGTGGTGGTAGATGGCACTCTTTGCCACCACGGCACTAGGTATCTCGGATTGTTGATCGGCAAAGCAATCGCACACGGGTTGCTTTGGAGGTCTGTCTCGCCGTTGCGGACTCGAGTCCTGGTCGTTGAGGCTGCGCTTGGTGCCGTGCCCTGTGCTAGCCTGAAATCTGTTCTGCAATCATTGCCGAAGCCTGATACGTATCTCTGTGATGATGGCGCAGTTGGTCGATCGAGGCACAGGATACGTTGTTCCCGAGGAGATCCGCCACGCGGATTGCAGTCTCTTCTGCACCTCCTTGTGACGGAGTAAGGGCTTGTGCCTGCCAAGGCATATCCATGTGATAGCTTTTGTCGGCTTTCATCTCGGTGGACAGTGAGAGATGACCTTCTTCATCGCGTTTCTCAATGCGGGGTATAGTGTGTTTGTGTTTGTTTTGGGTTGTGAATATCTAGCGGGTGCTTCTCGAGCAGTGCGTACCAGTCCTTCAATGACCTGTAAATGACTTAGTAACATTTAATTGTGGCGGATATCAGATAATGGTTTACCTTGGCCTTGACGTTGCCAAAGGATGGCGGGCTCATGATGGAGAGGCAAATGAGAAAAACGTCTGTCTGAGGGTATGACAGCGGCCTCAATCTGTCAAAATCTTCTTGGCCAGTAGTATCCCAAAGTCCTAGGCCTATGGGCTTTCCATCGACCAGTCTTTGGTCGACGGATGACCCACCCCTCCTCAAAGTGAATCCTGGGAAGGGTGTTTAGACCGCTAGAGATGTAGATTGGGAACGCGGTCATACAGCGACACGTGCGTTTCTTGCAACTCAGAATATCGAGAGAGATAAATCGTGTGTATTGATGTTGGCAGATCTATGTCAGCAATCAGACAGGGATGGGCACGTGAGTGTATGTATATGTGGATTCTGATAGTCTATCTAGCTTCCCGGCGCCTCCATCCTTATACCGAATTGGGTGGGCCCGTGCTTGCCAAGCTTGTCATGTGACAATCTATCCCAGAGGAGTCTTCCTGAGATGAGAAGGGGTGACGCTCAGACGTGAGAGCGGTACCGCTTCGGCTACGTCTAAGTTCCACCATCTGACCGTGTCTAGGTCTTGTCTAACATCTGTCACTGTATCCTGACACCCCTCGGCCTCGCAGGCGGAGCATTGTAGGCTTATTTAAGCTGCTTGTGTCGCCAGGCAAGAACGACGGTCAGTTCTCTCAAGGCCTCCCACCAGACCTTCCAGACAATTTTCGGCACGCCTTCGTGGAGAAGCTCCCCTATAGGAACAGGCTGGTCGAATTTATCCTTGAGCGCCTGTTCATAGTGCTTCTTCAACCAGTGCTCCATGACTGTGTACATGTCATATTGCCACTCCTGGCGCAGATCCTCGATAGTGACTGTTAGCTTGCCGGTGCCTTTAGAGTTGTCAGCGATCCAGCGCTGGAAAAATGACTCCGTGCCAGAGAAGAAATGTGGATATGAGTCCTTCGCAGCCAGCAGGATCTTGTCTGGAGTAGGACCTCCCATCCATTCCAGGAGAAGTCTTTCTAGATCTTTATAGTGGGGGTGGTTGGCAGCCGCAAAACGGGACTGCAGCTGGGGTAGGATGTCGTCAATATCGGCTTGGTAGATGGTGATTTCATCTGTGGAATCAACCGATTTAGTGACCTTGACTATCTCGTGCAACCCCTTCCCATGGATGATGATGGCGGGGCCGGGGCGTTCCGGATTCATTCCGGCGAGGATAGGTGACGGGGGAGTGTCCAGGAGGGGTGCTTCAGACTGAGCGGCCATGGTGATGCTTTTTCCTGCTCTGTTTTGGAGAACTTCGCGGAGGCAGAGTTCAAAAAGTCCGCTTTGGAATTTTTGGTTTGTTGTGGTGGCGTAGATGGTGGTTTATTATGAGTGTAGAGGTGTATTTGTAGATTTGTGAGTGTGGTGGTGTAGATGGTGGGTTGTGAGTGTAAAAGTGTAAAAGTGTATTTGTAGATTTGTGAGTGTGGTAGTATAGTAGTTGTGGTTTGTGAGTGCGGAGGTAGAAAATGGAGAGAGAATTTATACTGGGAAGGAGGTGTCTTGGCGGGAGTCAGTAAAATGGTGCTCTGGGTGAGTTAATAAAACCGCAAGCCAGTGATCAAAATCGTGTGTCCAATTTTGATCGCGTGGTGGGTGCTGCGTGCGTGGTGAGAGATTCACAAACGGCGAAAACTTATAGATGTCACTATTCCCGCAGAGAAGAGCACGCCTTGAACAACTCCATATTGGCCAAATGTGCGCAACTTCAAGCTTTGGAGTGGTCAAATATTTAGAAGGGGTGTATATACATTATGTTCATACACATGTTACACAGGCCGTGCTTTCGTATCGAGCCGTGCAATTATAGCGGCGCTGAAAAGGCACACATGTACATAGAATCTAGGGGACATGGCTTCTGTGACTCCAGTAGTACAAACTCCCAGAGCAGTATGGACCCAGTGACTTCAGCAGTACACGCCCGGTGACTCCAGCAGTACGAACCCGATAACTCCAGTAGTACGAACCCCAACCTTTGTCCGTATCTCCCTGTCGAGTTCCTTGCCGCATTTGTTGTAAATCCTACGAAAGACACAGCTCTCCTTGAAAGAATACTCCCCCTCCTTGTCGGCACTGTCCTCCACATCCTTCTGCTTACCCACCCGCATCCGATTCACAGCAACCAAGACCTCAATCATCGCGTCCACAATGTCTCCCCAACCCTCGCGTTTTAACAAGAATGAGCTTCGTGCCAACTACCGGCTTGGGTATCCCATCTGTGACATGCACCGTACGTTCAAACCCCTACTTGAGGCACTTCGCAAAGGCCTTGGTCAGCTTGATTCGCAAGCAGCCGGTGAACAGGATGTTCAGCTCCACAGAGGAGGCTTAGCGTTTCTTCTGGCCGGGGAGGAGGGTTATGTGGAAGTCGTGGTTGAATTCATCGATAACTCGGCGACTTCGAGCATTGTCAACCATTCCTGCCACGTCTCAAAGCGGCAGACGAGCGCGTCATTGAAGACATTGTGTCCGAAGAGGAGTACCAAGGACTTATCGAAGTCTACCATGGCAACTGTGATATCTGCGTTCTCGTCAGTCAGTCCCTAGAAGATTGGACACGCCACCCTCGACGTCGGCAATCGCGTGTGGGAAGAGGTGCCCCGAAAAATCAAGTGTACTGTACGACAGGTCGTCGGCTGCGGACTTCTCGGCAGATTGCGCACTTGCAGTGCGTCGAACAGTGGCTCCTCATGCGGGTATGGCTTCTCGGCCAGTTCGATGGTCGGGAGAGGCTCAAGGTCTGTGGGATCGTGGAATAAACATCATGTTGAGCATCGGCGAGACTGTGTCGGAGACTGTGTAGGAGACTGGGTGTCGATCCGAAGAGGAGGTTGTATCGCCAAGGGCATTTTGTACTGCACTCCAAAGTTGATTAAAAGTCCGCGGCTTCGAAATCAGTAGCTACCGCCTTTAGGGAGACGGCGCTGGGGAGGATGTCGGGACTCCTCAAGGGCTCAGGATAAGGCGAGGTGCACCCCGTATTCTCGAAGGCGTCTCAGAGGTATTGCTTGCATTTAGGCCAGGCCGAGGATTGTGTATATCGTGCCGGGACCGCTGATAGTCTGCACGTTGCAGGACCAAGATGTTGTTTGCGCTAGACCCGAATACGGTGACATTTCGTTGCAGGTTTGTGTTTGTCCTTCTTTCCGGTTGTTAGGTGGACATAATCCCAGGTAAAAGAAGAGTTTAGTGATAAGGAATCTTGATATAGGCCCGTAATACTTTGGCGAAGAACCGTTTACCAATACACGCATCCTGCGTACTCGTCTTTTCAAGATACTATCCGTGCCCGTTCTATCTAGGACGTGAATTGCGCTCGTCCGATTCACGGCTGATTAGGGCCATCGATTGTGAGTGTAATCCGATGCTCTAGATACCCATCTCGTGCCCGTTTTGTCCGGAGGTGAAGCAAGCAGCCCCTTCCCCCCCTCGCCTGTTCTTATACGTCTGGGCTTCACCCATATATCTAGTAGAGTGCTTAGGTCCGCGGCCCAGTGATGCTCATATATAACCCCCCCTCTCACTGCCCTCCCTGCCCTTCTTTCCCTCTCCAAGCCCTCCTCTCCCCACTCACCACTCTCCACAAGCCCCAACAGCAACAGCAACAGCGGCAACAACAACAACAACAACAACAACAAACCATCCCCCTCCACCTCCCACCTCCCACCACCAGCAGCAGCAGCCACAATGGCTCTGCTCACCAAGATCAAGGCGGCGCTTCGGCGCATCTTCAATAGGAAGACCAAGGCCGCCGAGGCCAAGGTCGAGGAGAAGATCGAGGAGAAGCCCACCGGGGCCTCTCCTCCTTCCTCTCCTTCCTCTCCTCCTCCTCCTCCACCCCCACCACCCCCTCCATGCCGTGCACCCTCCCCGCCGGCCCCGATTCTGCGCTGCGGCGTAGATTGCGGGTGCCAGGCGTGCGCCTGGGCTGCAACCATGGAGCTCTGTGAGTTTTTTTCATCACGGGCTATGTTTGTATCTGGTGCTGACTGGTGGTTTAGGAGCGACGACGACGAGGACGACGAACTGGGCCCCGCAAGGGGAATGATGATTTCCCGGGTCTTTTTTTGGGGGGTTTTCTGGAGTTTGGGGCTGGACACGGGAGTGGGCGTGAAGCCCATCCCTTTTTACTTTCTCTACCAATGAATGATGTGTCCTTGTACCATAGCATCAGGGTCGTTCTCCTCTTGCCGTTAGTCCCTTTTATGTGACATGAATGTGATTTCAAGGAAACGTGATGTAGAGTGACTAAACGACGAGAACTGTGACGGTGGTTGGTCTACTGCAGACACTTGACATGGGAGAGAGAGATGGAAGGGAGATGAAATCACCCCTTGCACGTATTCGCAGCGGAAAAGAAAGAAGGGTTCCCGTTTTCTTTTTCTTTCTTTTCGGAGTTGAGACACTGGATGAATTGACTGGAGAGAGGAACGAAGGATGATTGATGAGAATAATGGAATACTGATCAAGGAATAGATAAGGAACTTGGCTAACCGCACAGAAAAAAATCACATCGCCGTAGAATGTACACTACCTAGCACCCAGACATATTACGGAATGTACCTCTAACCCCATGTACAAAAGAATATCAATACCCGTTCTTCGTATCCGAATCACACCATGCCTGCAATACCCAAAACCATGCCCACCACCACGATCACGTCCAGCTTGACCACATCCGTTGGTACCGCAAGCGCCGAGCTAAGCGTAACGGGCGCGATTGCCTGCGTGTTCGCCCCCCTTGTACTACCCGAGTATACTGGCGGCGGTGTGCCTGTGGTTGTAGCAGGGACAATCTCGGTATTCGCTTCGTGCGATGTAGTTTGTGTACCCGTCGCACTGGGATCGGGAGGAGTGACAGTCTGAGGAGGTGCGAACTCGGTGTTGGCGGAGCGTGCGGTGGTGAATGCTGTGGGTGCTGCTTGGCGGGCGTTGATGGCGTTCATGTCGAGGGGTTGGAGCTGATGCGCCGCGAGGGCGAGGGAGAGGGAGAGGGAGGTTAGAAGGAAGAATGCGGATATGTGTACGAGGAGATGCATTGTAGTAGCAGTAGCAGTAGCAGTAGCGTAATTGCTGCAATTGGCAATCTCTGGATCAAGTGGGCATGGATGGAATGGGCACGTCGCAAGGAAGGTCGGAATCCAAGGACGTTGGTGTCGAAATGATGGCAGGAGATCAGAAGTTTCCAATTCTTAAGCCTTGCTCTGCTTTTCAATCACCCATGGCCGTTGCAGATGACGTCGAAGAATAATTGAATTGATGGTGGTGGGTTAGATAGATCGACACGTGTATTCACCAATTGGGATAGCTGTGACAGCTTCGTCCAATCAGAGCTTCGTCTCCAAGTGGAAGACAGCTAGCTGAGAGAGACGGTCTCGAGTAGGTAGGGCGGGGTCGATAACGATGGTTGCGACATCAGTATGTACCAGTACTGATTATTACCTATGATTTTTCCTACTGATTAATAAAGGTTTCATCTCATGTCTTGTTAGAATGGTCAATTTCTTGCCGCTGGTCAACTGCTGGCTCTGTTATCAGCACTGAAAAGAAGAAGAGGGGGAAAAGTCTCCGCATACCCAGGCGGACGCGAGATCTCTAACTTCCGCGAGAATCCACAAGTGCTCACCTGGCGTGATGCCAAGGTACGGGCAATATGGGAGGCATGTAGGCGTGGAGACGTGCAGGCGCGGAGGCGTGGAGTGGGCCAAAGGCGCTTTTTGATATCCATCCAGATGTGCTTTTGGTGTTTCTGTGCTGTCTCTGCGCTGTCCCCTGCATCGTCTCAGTAGCCCACCTCGGACCTTCCTCGGCCGCTGTGGGAAGAGTTTGTTCTGTGAGAATGTGAGAATGTGAGAATGTGAGAATACGAGGGGCTTCTCTGGCTTGGTGTTGAGGGCCAAGCACGGCCGGTGTGAATGTCCAAGAGTGGATTCGGCGCTGTCCTTTCCTCATACGGTTAGTGTCATAGATAGATGCCCCGCATACATGACATGTGCGTCCACCCCCCGGGCTAACCCCGTCTCCACCAAAACTGTCGACGCCCAGACTTCATCAACACCAAGAACTCCCCCTTCTTCCACCCCCCCATTAATATCTGAGTAAACCAGGAGTCTGTCAGACCCGCTCCGCATAGCCAAGTACCCCGAATCGACCCCGAATCCGCCTTTCTCCACTCCAAAGTTGAGCCTGAACATGCTCGGAGGCACGAACCAACCAAGTGCGAGTGCCTCAGCCGCCGTCGTTGTTTCTCAGCCCGCGCCTGCACATAGACCAAATTGTCCAAACAGAACGGACCGAACCAACACCCCGGGGCCTCGTATACGAACAAACAATACCACAGCCTCAGCCTGAGTCTGGCTGGTCAGTTGGACAGTCTTCACCGCCATATCGATATCTACGGGTTTGCATTCGTCTGAAAGAAAAAAAAAGACGCAGTAAGGACTCGATAGCTTCACGGTCAAAAAGAAACACTTCGCAGAACGCCTCCCCTCGGCGCGGCCTTGAAGCCCAAAACTTCTTTGTCCTGGCCTGGGCTGTTAGAAGTGCTGTGCCGTTGCCTAACTTGGCACCTCAAGCAATGGCATGGCTGAAGCTTCGGCACGCCCGAACAGGATGCACACGGCGCAAGTGATGGACAGCGGGGTGTGAAATGCCTGGGGGTGCGGCCAAGTGTCCCGGAACGCTCCTTGGCTCTCCTGCGCAAACATCGACCTCTGTTTCGGTTGTCAGTAGTCCTTCAAACATGTCAAAAACAAGACATTTCGGCGCCGACGACTGAAAGGTTTGGTGATTGGATACGCAAGAGAAGAAGAAAAAAAAGGCAACAGGCCAGGTGTCCATGTTGTGGAAGCTGACGGACAAGACTCCTGTCGTGCAACGCTCAAAGGCGGGCCATATCTATACATCCCCATGGGGTCGGCGGCACACGATAAAAAAGATCAACCGTCCTAGAAAAATTGGGAAAAATTTGCCGATATGTAATAAACAACAAGCCTACATGTACATGTACACCCACGTTTCACTCGCCTTGTTCCACTCGTGCAGTCAACCACGGGTCCAATCACAACCCTTCGCCCTCTTGGCTCCCCTGCACGTGGATTGCATGCCTTTGTGCCCAGCGAAGCATCATATTGCTCTGGGCACCTCGGCATCTCTTGGCACTCCCTTGCCCTGCAACCTGTTCGTGAACGCTCCATTGCCATGGTACGGATGACCTTTGCGTCACAATCCCCAAGGATGGACCCCCCGTTTGCTGCTGCGATGCGGGTATCCCTCGCGAGGGTATATATATTGGTCGCCCTGCACCATGGATCGCAGTCTGTATCTCAACCCATCTCTTTCAATTGAGACCAATCATCTTCTCTCAATCTTTGCCTTTGCATTACACATCGTGGAGACAAGATGACTTCCACCTATGAGCCCGCGGATCCCGTGGCCAAGGGCATTCTTCCCACCGCAAAGCAGTCCTTGTCCGATCTGTTCATATGGAAGCAGAGAGTCGTGGTAACAAACGATTTCGGTGAGGAGCACACGGAATGGCAATCGCCTGAGCCGCTCAAGAACCCCTTCACCCTTTTTGCCCAGCTCAGCGTCAAAGACTGGATCTTCTTCGTTGTCGGTTTCCTCGCCTGGACGGCCGATGCTTTCGACTTCCACGCTCTGTCTATCCAGACCACCAAGCTTGCAAAATATTACCACCGCACCAACACCGACATCACAACTGCCATTACCCTTACTTTGCTCCTTCGATCCATCGGTGCTGCCTTGTTCGGTCTAGCAGGAGACAAGTATGGTCGCAAATGGCCCATGGTCATCAACATGTTGGTTCTTGGACTTCTCCAAATCGCAACCATCTACGCCAAAACATTCCAACAGTTCCTCGCTGTGCGATCGCTGTTCGGTCTCTTCATGGGTGGTGTCTATGGTAACGCCATTGCCATGGCACTTGAGAACTGCCCGTACGTTGGATTCGAATCATACCAGCACTCGCGCTAACATTGGTCTAGTGTCAATGCCAGAGGTCTCATGAGTGGTATCCTCCAACAAGGTTACTCCTTTGGATACGTCGTTGCAGCCTGCGCCAATCTCGGCGTCGGTGGTTCAACCGAGAGCTGGAAAACCGTCTTCTGGATCGGTGCCGGTCTCTCCATCGCCATCGGGCTCGTCCGAATTTGCTTCCCCGAATCCAAGCAGTTCATTGAAGCAAAGAAGGCCGGACATCAAGCCAAGGCACCTGGTGTCTTCTGGGCCGAGACCAAGAAGATGCTGAAGCAAGAGTGGAAGATGTGCATCTACTGCATCATTCTTATGACATGGGTAAGTCATGCTTTTCCCACATGTCGTTGTAGACGACTAATCACTTTGGCAGTTCAACTACTACTCGCACACCAGCCAGGACAGCTACACCACCTTCATGCTTACGCAAAAGCACCTCCTCAACGCCCCGGCCACCCGCGCATCCATTCTCATGAAGACGGGTGCTTGCGTTGGCGGAACCATTATTGGCTACCTCTCCCAATTTGTCGGTCGTCGCCGTGCTATGGTTGTCGCTGCTATTCTATCCGCATGCATGATCCCTGCTTGGATCCTGCCTGAAGGCGAGCGTAGCCTTTCGGCGTCTGGATTCTTCATTCAGTTCTTCATTCAAGGTAAGTAGCCACGTCGATGGCATATTCGTATCTTCCACTAATGCGCGACCAGGTGCATGGGGCGTCATCCCAATCCATCTCAACGAGCTCTCCCCACCCGCATTCCGTTCCTCGTTCCCCGGTCTCACCTACCAACTTGGCAACATGATCAGCTCCCCATCCGCTCAGATCGTCAATGCCATCGCCGAGTCCCACCAAGTGCGCACCAACCAGGGCAAGCTTGCCTCGGCTTACGGTCCCACCATGGGCATTGCAACCGCCATCATCGCCCTGGGCATTGCCGTCACCGCTGCTCTTGGACCCGAGAAGCGCGGACGCAAATTCGACACTGTCGGCCCCTCAGTCGCGGAGATACCAGCAAAGGATATTGAGCAGGGCGGTGGCGGCATGGACGAGAAGACGGCCGGAGCCGTTATTTCAGAGAAGATCTGAGCACCGTCACGACTTTACGACGAGTAAGCGAATGAGTAGGATAGGGGCATATATACCCCGCATTGAGATACGACTATAGATATCCATGACTGGTATCATGATTGAGTATATAGCATGCATCGAATGACATCCCATTCCAACTCCACCCAAAAAAAAAGCTTGTCTTTGTGACTTTCGTCCCGTCTTATCTGTGCAGAATACAAAAGCAATTACTATCTTTAATAGTAAGCAAGCTTACTACTATGTAATGACATGCTACAAAGGAAGGCCAAGATTAATATTAAGAATTGCTTAATTATA